TCCCCTGAAACAGAGTCTCACTTTGTTGCCCTTGGTAGAGTACTGTGGTGTCGTAGTTCACAGCAAACTCAACCTATTGGGCTCATGAGATTCCCTTGCCTCAGCCTCCCAAGTAGCTGGGACTACAGGCACCTACTGCAGTGCCTGGCTGTATTTTAGAGATGAGGTCTTGCTCTGGCTCAGTCTGGTCTTGAACCTGTGAGCTCAGGCAGTCCACCCACCTCAACCTCCCAAGTGCTAGGATTACAGGCACGAGCTACTGCACCCAGCAAGTGCAGACGTATTTTAAGACTATGTAAATAACCTCCTTTTCATCAAATGTTCCCCTTAGATTTAGTGTCTACCACTTTTTTGAGCACTTTCTAGTACAATAAGGTGTTCTAGACTAATTTTGTACTTTCCTTGCCCTAATTTAGCATAATCTCTGGCACCCAGTAGTTACTTAGTTAAGTTTTATTGACACTTTTTTGGGGGAGTGGACAGAATCTCACTATGTCGCCCTTGGTAGAGTGCTATGGTGCTATGGTGCTATGGTGTCAGCTCACAGCAACCTCAAACTCTTGGGCTCAAGCGATTCTCTTGCCTCAGCCTCCTAAGTAGCTGGTACTGTAGGTGCCCACAACAACACCTGGCTATTTTTTTGTTGTAGTTGTCATTGTTTAGCAGGCCGGGACCAGGTTCAAACCTGCTACCCCCGTGTATGTGGCTGGCACCCTAACCACTTAGCTATGGGTGCCGAGCCTTACTGACACTTTCCTCACTGCAGTTAAAAGATGACAGAGAAATGATGGGGCAGTGACAGAGAGTAGGTATTGAGAGAATGACCTGTTGTGCTATTGTTCACATATCTCTATTTGGAGCTTATTCTGTAGAGCTTGAGGACATATGCTTTCTTCCTGATTAGCAGGTTCCTTATAATGTTTCGAATTTTATTGCTTGTTGTATTTGGCCATATGTGCAATTAAAATTAAGTTTTAAAAGCATCTTTAATAATGAAGTGCCCTTATCTCAGTGGGTAGGGCACTGGCCACATGCACCCAGGCTGACAGGTTCGAACCCAGCCCAGGTCAGCTAAGCAACAATGACAACTACAACAACAACAAAATAGCCGGG